TTAGAAAAAAAAAAATTATTAGAAGGGAAATGTTTTGAAAAAGGGTATTCAATAAATATTTTGAAAAAAATTTGAAAGAATTTTGAAAAAAAACAGTATTTAGAAAAAAAATTATTAAAACTAAAGTACAAAATGTTATAACTAAAAATAACAGTATTTTGATAAATAGTACTAAGACTACAATAATTGTGTAATGTTTGAAAACATTTTTGAATAGAAAATTTATACAAAAATTGAAAAAAAACTTGAAAATATTTTCGAAAATAATTTGAAAATGAAAGAAATATTTTTTTGAAAAAAATTTTGAAAATATTTTCGGAAACAATTTGAAAAATATAAAAAGAAAACATTTTTTGCGAAAAAAAAATATTAGAAAGAAAAATTAATAATAAAAAATTGGAAAGCGATTTGGAATTGAAATGAAGCCCAACGTCACTTAAAATGCAGAAGTGTTTAGTCATCGCTATTTATGCATATGCATCTATGCAAAAATGCTTTTTGCAGCAGCAGTTGTTGCAATTAATTTTGCGCTTTACAAGCGTTTTCTTGTTTCGCTTTGCTTTGGCAGGCATTTACACGACCACAAACAATTCTCAATTCTACTTACGGACACCAGATGATTCAAGTCCTCATAGGTGGGGCACAGCATACGCAACTTGTGATAACAAATGTCATACAATGCCTCATTATCGATGCAAAATGTTTCATCGGTGTTCTCGCACAGCTGATGTGCCGACAGTGTGGCATTGTAGGGCTCAACAATTACCTCGGATACCTGTCCCACACCGTAGCGGGGCCGAGTAGAAGGGGTGTGGTCACAAGCAAACGCAGGCGAAAATACACAACACATGTATATACCAATAAAAGCAAACACATATACACATAAATATGTACATTTGTAAATGTGTAGGTGTAATGGTCGGCAAACGCAAACGTATTGCGGTGCGCATTGGTAAATGCCACGCAATCGGCATTACCGTTCAGCCATGCAACCGGGTCATCAATTGTGAACGTTGTTATTGTTATTGTTGTTGATGGTTGTTGGTGCGTTGGTCGGTTGGTTTCGACGTTTACACAGGAAATGCATATGTGACGTGGCGGGATGCGGGGAGCAGTGTTAAGGCGAGATAGATAGAGAGGGAGCGAGAAAGAGCGAAAAGGAAAGAAGAGAAAACCCATTAGTATTGCTTGGTATATTGGTCAACTTACGGATACAAGATGATTCAAATCGCCATAGGTGGGCGATGTCAGCTTCAGTGTGCGGAAGCAGATGTCGTATAAAGCCTCGTTGTCGATGCAGAATGTCTCATCGGTATTCTCGACAAGTTGATGTATGGACAATGTGGCATTGTACGGCTCTACGACGGTATCGGAAACCTGAAAAGCGCCAATGAATCAGCGCAATGTTGCAAGCACACATAACCGGACGGCCAGTGAGGCATACAAGTAGTAGGCAAGCAAGCGAATATACGTTGGCAGTCAGTCGGTCAGATTAGCGAGTAGTATTCCCGATTTGGTTCGAAGTACCACAGATGGTCAGGCAATGAATGGCGTTGCATTGTTGGAGTTTGTTGATTTGTTGTCGTACATACATATATATTGCGCAATATTTTTGTTATTGTTGTTATGTGCGGTTAGTTGTATTAGCAACAGATGCAGCAAATGTGGCAGCAGCAGTTGCACAGTCGTCCAGTCAGCAGGCGTTGAAGCATTATGTGGTGCAGCAGGCCACAGGCGTAAACGAGMGTTGAAATGAAGCGTGTGTCAGCGTACAGTGCCGTTGTGGCGCAGCAGTGTGGCATAGAAGAAATGAAAAATAAAAGCGAAAAAAGCGAAATTTAGTTAAATGTAAATAGTAAGAAGTTTAATAGTCATACTCAATACTTTTAAATGCTTCAAATCAAAGTGTATATAAAATAAAAAAAACTTTAACTTCGAGTACACCGAAGCTATAATACCCTTCACAAGTACCTCTCTTATAGCACTAAATATTTTTGAATATGTTTATCTAAAACTACGGTGTAGTATGGTAGACAGTCGTATAGAAATACATATTTCAACTTGGAAAGAAGTCTTTCATGAATAGCTTCATTTCCATTTTGTTCGATGAGTTTGAATGGTAGCTCCTGAGAGATAAAACCCCAAAGTAATGGAAGTAGGAGGAAGAAGGCGAATTTAGCAATAGATTTTTAAGAAATTTGATCGCCAATCCATGATAAATAAACTGCAAATAAAATAGAGATGGGAGTTGTTAACTCTTAACTGACTTGCGTATCCCACCTCGAAGGAAGAAAATAATGACATGATTACATGACTATAAGCGTTGCTTGATGCTTTCATGCCAGGAAATGGATAAAATGGAACACATTTTGGCCATCAGCTGGAGGATTGATCTATTAGAGAACGTTATCGAGAGAAGATATGTTAAAAGAAGTGAAATAGAAAGAGACATAAATGCGAGTGTGCCTAGAGTTTGATACGCTGATAGGCAATTATAATTATCCCTGACTTTTACCCAAAGCTTGGCTGACTACTAGTAAGTTTTATGATCGAAAGAAACCTTTGTGATATGAAGCGAATACTTATCTAATGTAAACACTAGACATAGCTTGTACTGAACTGAAATTCACTAAACTGAATGAATAAAATAGCCTAAAATGAATGGAACGCACAGTTTCATATGAAGTGCTGTAAAGTTGTGTATACAGGGTCCGACACTCCAAATTCGGTTTGGAAAATTATTTTTATTTATTTTAAAGTACAAAGGGGGGAAAATAATCATAAATTCAGGACCAAATCACTTTTGCTAGATATGACCGAATCGCAAGCTGTCCGAATGTGACTTGCCGGTATTTTGGCCCACTCACGGACAATGGCTTTCTTCAGTATCTCGACACTGGTGTATTTTTTACTTCGAACCTAGTTCTCCAAAATATCAAAGAGAGAATAATCCATTGGATTTGCAACTGGTGAATTCGAGAGCTATTGTATGGTCGTAATGAAGTTCGGAACGTTGTTCATGTTCGTTTCAGCCATTCTTGGTTCACTCGCGCTTTGTGAGACGGTGCTGAGTATTGTTGAAACGTCCATGGCTTTCGACCGAAATGTTTGTTTGCTCACGGCTTCAAAGCAGCCTGCAGAACCCTTTTCCAATAATATGTCACATTTACTTCGACGCCAGGTTCGATGAAAACAACTGGAGAGCGCCCATCTGTGGTGCCTGCTGGTGGCCAACCGATGACTTAGATTCAGTGCAGTTTTGCGATACTACCAGTATTATTGTAACGAGTGATGGTGCGGTAAACAAAAGCCTTATTCACATTAAGGTGTTTGAGCTCACGAACAATTGCTGGCTGTGATTTTCCAGCTAAATACTTATAAAGCAATCACACTATTACGTTTGAATTTTATCGCTGATCACTTTTTTTTGCGTCCACTTTGGGCAAAACGCTTTTGTACACTTGTGAACAATACTCCGAATTGTCCTTCAGCAAATTTATAAATATCTGATTCCACTGTGAAAGCTGCGCGAACGGTCTGAAGTTGGTTCGAGTACCAGACCCTGGTCTCTCGTATCTATTGGAGCGCGCTGTGTCGTCTTTTGACATTTATATTTTTACGAAATCTTATGTAGACTTTGAGGTATTCACAACTTGAGTTGCCATGCACATACAATTTTCTGAGTGCCATGTTACTTGTGTCACAATAGTATTACATTAAAAATTACCATTCTTTATCAAGAAAATATTGTCCGTAATCAAATATCATTAAATGAATTATAATAATTTTGAATGTTTTTTTTAAGTGTAAAAGCTTTCTCCTTATTTTGCATAAAAAAATAGCCTTTTAATCTAAAACCCACTTTTAAATGAAACTCTTATTCAACCACACATTTCACAAATCAATAATTATTAATTATGTTGCATCATCAGGATATGTATTTGCCTCAATTTACACAATCAAAAATAAAAAATGATAGTTTTCAACTACAAGTACAAATTTGTGTTGTTCATAATATGTTGATCTTCAAATACTTAAACGCAAGAGACAACTGACATGACAAGTATTTGATTTCATTGAGGCAGAACAATGCTTACAACATTGTTGTTGCGTCTTTTAACAACTAATACAATTACTACAATGACAGAAACAAAGCAAGTACACCATTGTTCATACATATACACACGCAAATCCATTTAGTAGCACACAAAAACGAGAACAAACAATAAATTTCCAAGCATTTAGTTTCTGCTAATGAATGCCTTTCATCAAATTGGCCAATGGATATTTGGTTAGTAATGGGAAAACATTAGTAATTTGTTTGTTATAGATCTAACTAAATTTCGCATGAATATTATTACATACATAGCGTACCCAAACATATTTATGTATGTTAAGCAAGGCAAAACCCTGTAGAAAATTGGATGTAGAAAACATAGGTTATGTATGTGTATGTAATATATATGATAAATATTATTTTTTTTTAATATAGAGCATTAGTAGTCTGTATCGGGTTATGTTATATGACGTCAGCGCCATAAACTTCGTTTGCAAGAACTTCTTTGAGAGGGTTTATATCATTGCTTAACTCAGCATTGTTTTAGCACGAATCAAAGATGGACATCAGAAAAAAAAAAATACTAAAGTAAAAGCGAAATAGCAGGAAATTCGAAGAGTCACAGATTTAGGGAATTGTGTGGACCTAGAGTCAAATATCTGTTCCTATTTAAAACGAATGATTTTGCTGGTGAAAAATGCATCAGAAGACAAACTTGTGAAAATCTTTTGTCCAGAAGTTTGCCAATAGAGACCTGGGACAATTGACGTCAATGCTTTAACTGATCAACCTCTGAGTTTACCGTTTCTTGAAGTGTGATATTAAATCCGGCAATACAGTACTACAGTTCCTAAAAATTCTATACTGAAAGGAACAATTTCTTCAATTTTACTTACCAGCAGCTTATATAGAAATTGGGTTAATATACAATAGTACTGTCTCAAAAAAAAAAAAAAAAAAAACAAAAAAAAATAAATTAAAAAACAAAAAAAAAAAAAAAAAAAAACATAAATAAATAAATTGAAAAGCAGTACGCATCTAAGGTTTAACATTTCATGTCAGAAAGATACGATCCAACAACTAGTTGTAACTATTAAAACTTACTACCGAAATTCAGCGTCGGTGGCCTCAACTTTAACAGCGCTACATTCAATTTATGGTCGTCATAATCATTCTGTCAGATCAAGAATTGGCTTCTGTTAGAAAAAGTTGAATGCACAGGCACAGTACAAAATGTTTCCATGCCAGTGAGACAAAGAAATGCCCGCTGACGCGAGAATATTGCTGCCGCTTGTGCATCAATTGAGAAAGACCCAAATCAGTCTCATACAAGTTGTTCTCAAGCATTGGGCATCTCGAATTTTGGGAAGACATATTGGCCTATATCTTAACACGACCAAATTGACACAAGAGCAGCAGCCACTTGATCAGCAGAATTGTCGTATGCTCGTAAATTGGGCTGAGCAACAATTTGAAAATGATCCGGATTTTCAACAAAATTGGTTATTGGTCAGGCAGCAATCCACACATACTACAAAAGTCACCATTATATCGTTATAAAGACCGGCACGTTACTGTGAATGGGAATCCCTACCGCTCAATGATAACCAAATATTTTTGTTCCAAAGGGACTTGGAAGACATCACAAGGCATACAGCGAATGCCACAATCGATTTATTGAAAACCAAGTTTGGTGAACGTTTTATATCACGACATGG